AATTCGAGTTCAAGTCTCCGCCCGTGGTCAAGGCTCAGCGGGGAGAGCTCATCACCCCCCCCCCTCCTGCCACCGCAACGCTGATTGCGTCGTCATCAACCGAAATCTTTGGGAAGAGGATATTCACACATTAGCGGCGTTTATGACATTAAAGTATAGTCCAGACCTCAAATTCAGTTCACTTTATGCTCTTTAAAAAACAACCGCTCTTTGGCGTTGATCGATGATTTGTTCTACTTTTCTGTCAGTGTCAGACCGGGTCTTCCAGTTTTAGCTACACAAAAAGTGGTACGTAATGTGATCGTGGCAACGATTTTATCCATCACTCCACCTTCTAGAAACGCTTCTTCACGCCTCATCCGTGAAGAAACCACCAACCAGTTAGGCTACAGAGTTCTTGTTGCTTCGTAAATGCACCGTAACCAGTTTCATCTCAACGACCCAGAAAATTGTTTGCTCACTGAGACAACTTGTGAAACTGAGGAACAGAAAACTCCTGTCTGCTTTTGCGTATAGAGTGCTACTACTGGTACTGATGCAATGCAGGCTTCTCCCAAAAGATTAGAGTGCGTACTTCGCTTCGTTGGGGAACGGGGAGACTGCGATTGTAATTTACAGGCAGGGTACTTCGCATTGGGTATCCGCAGCAAGGTGGGGGCGTGTTTTCTCGCTAGAAGGAGGGGGATCATTACCTAAAAAATATTTGCGGGTCCTGGAGCATGAAGCCTAAGATTTCGCCCCGAGGTATTATGGATTCAATTAAGGCGCTGGTAGGAATGGTTGCCCATCACGCAGAAGCTAACCCACCTACAAGATAAGCATTCCCATGGGAGTACGGATGGACTCCTTCGCTGAAATTTTCGGAGGGCAAATAGGTTTTCGGTCGCGCAGATAAGACCTTTCCAACAACCCATACTAGGAAGCAGGCGAGGCTTCTAGAAGGTCAGCCAATAGATATTCTTGTGGACCCATGTGCAGCTCGGACCCTCTAGACAGTTTGATTTTACATTTTTACATAACAGTATACAAATAAATGGTTGTGTAAAGTCATAGTTCAATCCATGTTTCTTCGTTGCTCCCACAAATTCAAATATTCAAATAATCTTTATTGAAACAATTATAAGATCGTGTTCGTTGCAGGCGTCCAAGCAGATCAGCGTCGCGTTCCATCTTCGAAGAAGACTCCTCCGTCGATTGCACAGTACTTGGGACAGATACCGCGTTCGCCCGGTTGTCCTGGAGGGCCGGCGGGTCCTGGTGCTCCTGGGTTCCCATCTGCTCCTGGCTGACCATCAGGACCGCTGGGACCTTTTGGTCCCGGCTGACCAGGTGCCCCATCACTTCCAGGTTGACCGGGAGGACCAGGAGGACCTTGTGGTCCTGGCTCTCCTGGTGGTCCAGGCTCTCCGGGAACAAGCGGCTCTGATTGTGCAGGTATTCCGGGCTCTCCAGGTGCTCCAGGTGGTCCAGGGTTTCCAGCGGGTCCGGGTGGACCCTTGGGTCCAGGTTCTCCAGGCGGCGCGTCTTGTCCAGGAAGTCCAGGTTGCCCTGGTGGTCCAGCATCTCCTGGTAATCCTGGAGGACCAGGCGGTCCTGGTGGTCCTTGTGGACAAGGCTTACATGGAGGTGGAGTGATGGGTTCGCATGGTTGCTGAGGAGGTCGCCCAGGATTTCCGGGTAGACCTGGAGCACCAGGTTTGCCGGGTCGACCCGGCTTGCCAGGGGTACCCGCCGGTCCAGGTGGGCCTGGAAGGCAGCACGCTTCACATGAACCTCCTTGTTGAGCCCCACCGGTTACTGCGGCGTCTCCGTATCCGGCCTGACGTGCCGTACGATTGTTAGCTACAGGTAAGCTCTTTAAATTGTGCACTTCTGTCCAGATATCTTTCGCTGAGCCCTGTAACTTTCAATCAATAATGACAATTATTTCAATACAAAAAACGTACCAAAATTCAGCCAGTCAGAATTCTAAATAACTCATAAAAAAGCACTCACCTTACAAAAATTGATTTCATTGTGCATAGTTCGTTTCACATGATGGACATAGTTATATACCATAGGTAAAGTGACACATACTGATAGAACAGCGACGACAGAAAACGTGACAGCCGAATAGGCGACGAAGCGGTAGGCTTTGACCCTCGTTTCGAGGTCCATGGCCGCTGTCTGCGACCGTCTCTCGCCCGCTTTTATAGGGCGAGGTGCGCCCGCCCAGGACCTGCTTCAGCGCACGAATTACACCATAGATTGGCATTCAGAATAGCCGACTTCGAAACCCAATGACGCACATTGTATTCGATCCTTCTAAGAAGACTTATCGAGTCCATGACGCAACTCGAGTCGGTTGGCGTTTGATGTCATAAAGGGCATTTTGGGGTTGGACTTGGCCCAAAACCGAACCCAAAATTCAAAACACGTGTGTGTCATAGCGCTTTCCTGCGTCAAACGTCTGGCACCGTTTGCTTGCACGTTTTCCCTTTCTTTTACCCTTTACCCCTTTCGGCTCGTTTGGTTCTTCGGCCATTCTGAAGCCTGGCGCAGTTCGGCGACGGGAGGGGCATTTTGCACTTTCGCTGCTTCACTAGTTCCGGTTTACAAGTCTCACTCTGGTGAAACCTGTGAACTCTTGTGAAGCTGGAGCAAGCTCGTCGAGCCACCATGGTAAAACCTGTCAACTCTTGTAAGCTCACGAAAAGGTCTCTAGATGGGTCAACACGTCGATGGGAAGTTGCAGAAGTGCAAAATAAGTGTGTGGGGGTGTGTGTGCTTGTCTATTTCATCTGATACCCTTCACTCGTAAGCACCGTTTTCTTTTGGTTTCGAATAATCAGGCGCTACAAGTGTCTATTTCAGGTACTTTTCACCTTCGATTTTTTAGCTCTTCAATGGGTCAGTTTAACCCCACACTTGAATTTTTTTCTTCGCTAAATCCCAGAAGATGAATAAGCGCTAACCTGTTCCTCACTCTTGGTCCTGTAAAATTGAGGGGTGTTGAAATTGTCCTAAGACCAGAAAGGAGCCCTTTGAATCTCCCAGCTCGGGTCTGTTGGCATCCAAGACATTCATTGCCGAGCAGAGGGCTCACATCGAGGGTCTTCATCACTATACTGGCTTCAGGTGTCCCTTATGGGATACGCTTCCACTCAGGACACATCATCGCAGGGGACATCCAAAGGGGAGAGGGGTCGTATTTGCCTTCCGAGAAAAATTTGCAGCGTTGAAAAAAAATTGTTGACTTTTCGCGGTTTTTCCTGTGTCATACACCTCGTCGCTCGACAGAAAAATTTTAGGAAATGCCGGAAAAAGGGGTGGGAAGTTGGAAAAATCTAAGGAAGTGGTAGGTAGCATGGGGAAGAGGGGGTTGTATTTTCCTCGAGGTTTCCCCGTTTTAAATGTACTATATCCTCCACCCCCCCCGCTCAATCACTCACTCGAATCAGAGGATGGAACCAGGGGGGGGGGTCGTATCAAGCCTTTCTTGCGGGGGTGAGTGCGACGGACTCGACCAAAATCCAAAACTGATGTGATGTGCCCTGCTCCTACCACTGCAATACACTTGCAGTACCATTGCTACGCTCTCACGCAATCATTCGTTACATTTCTCGCTGTGGATTTTCTCGTATGGGTCTCAGTTTTTAGGACCAGTCCAGTCGTCCATTGCTTGATCGTTGTTTTTCGTGTTGATGGGGTCCGGTTTGCTCGTTGCAACGTTTATAGTCTAATTGCCACTTGGTGCGCGGCGTTTTTTCGTCTCTCCTCGGAGAACGATACTAATTCCGATAGGGGGGCTGAGAAGGAGGTTCCGTTTCATGGTCACCTACGCAGCGAAAGGTGAAAAAGAGTACAAGTACAAAAACGTCACCGCCACCAAACAAACGAACAAAGATTGATGCGCCTCGGAAACTAAGGACAGTTTAAAATTCGCATTCGTTGTTCTGAATACAAGGCCAACAGGGAGAATCAGGAACGATTAGGGAACATTTGGCAATTAAGTCGAGTTCTCCCTGAAGGGTCCAGTTTTTATTGTCATTAAACGGGGTGTAAGCATTAGTAAGCATGTGTATGGCAGTCATTACTCGAAATGTTAAGAAGAACTGCAATTTCATCGCATTACTAACCGAGTTCATGGACTCGAATCTCATCAGGAATCTTCGAGTTCCTTGAATACTTGCTGAGACCATTTTCCCATAGACCAATTTATGTCAGTGTTTTCTCTTCCCCAGCAAGTCAAGTCCTACAATGACTATGCCAAGACTGAAAAGCAACTTTGAATAGCGCGTATAAGAGACCCACAGTTGATATCGTCGTAGTTAGTAGAGGCGATGTAAGAAGCAGGGCACGCCATCGTTGTGATAATCAGAACGGGAGGGGGGAATATTTGATCGCGAGGGAGAGGGGTCATAGTTGGTCTGAGAAAAATTCTTTTGATAGTGGTTTCTTTGTTTTTCCACTGACGCTATAAGGGGAGGATCGTATTCGATTGACGCTGAGGGGGGGGTCGTGGAGTCGTATTAGTCTTGAGTGATTTTTCGGCGTTGGGAAAGAAAATTCCGGTTGTTGGCTTTTTGCGGTTTTTCCCGTTTCACTGGTATACCCCCACCCCCCCCCCATAGTTGATGGCCCTACCAAAGATTTGTACAACTACTATTTCCGGTGGTTTAAAATAGTAGTTAGTTTATGATGACCTCCCCTCCCCCGCATGGCAGCAAAATATTGGAAAAAAACTATACAAGGAATTTTTCGGAAAAAAACTGGTAGGAAGTTGAGAACATGTAGGAGAGTGGTAGGTAGGATGGGGAGGAGAGGAGCGTATTGGGAGGGGGGCGTATTTGAGGATGGAGTTAAGAAGGTCGTATTTTTCAGGAATTTATCACAACGCGATGGCGCGCCCTTTCCTGGAGGCCTGAAATGAGTTTTTTCCTTTCGTTTTATATCAGTGATCGCTTTCTTCCTGGGCTAGTTTCTACCGCTAGACGAGGCAGACGGCGGTAGGCTCATGCTACACTTACTGACACATCCCGGTGGACTCTGAGTGTCATGATATCAACTGTATGTGTCCACTTCTGACCACACATGGTTCCCATGAAACGATTAAGAGTTTTGTTAGAAAGGAACCGAGCTCTTATCACGAGGAAGTGCAAAAGCACGTAGTTTCATTATAGTAGTTGAGGTTTTTGTGTAGTTATTATCTATATATTTGTTTATTTTTATCTATTTACTTATTTATTTGATTACTTATTTATTTTTATTCAGTTTTGCAAATGATGTTTTTTTGTTAAAATGTCGGCATGATGCCGAATGCGCTGTTTTTTTTAGTTCCGCTAAGCGAGGTCGTTCGATGGAGCTCTCATTCAGTCTAACCTTTCAACCTTTTCTTCAGGTGCCCATCCCATCCTTTATGGTTCACATAAAAATTGGAATTTTGGCTTCTGAGAAAGTCGAAAAGGTGTTGGCCCAGGTCCTTAATGCCGAACAAACGTTCCATCCCACAGCGATGTTTGTTAGGGTGTAGAGAAAACACCAGTTTATTCTTTCCAATATTGCGCGGTCCCGCGGAGCGTAATGTAGCGGATGATTCTGTCTAACTT